ACTTTCATGTTTAACAGACAGATTAAACTCAACTTCTGTTTAGAGTAGTGAAAGAAGAGATCACACATGCACTCACAAGGAACAAAGTCGCTAATTGGATAAAAACAAAAGCTGAAATGAAGAAAATAAAAAAATGAGGTCAGCAGTATCAAGCAGCAGTGTCACTGGGGCAATGACATATAATAATGAACACTGTGTTTCAGATATTAGAAGAGTTGTTGTGAGCGGAAGAGACAGCCCTGAGAAAGAGGAAGTGCTGCCTTGTAGAGACAGACATTCCCCTCTCGGGTTGTGTTGTCAGAGATAAGGAGCCAGCAGGAACGTGTGCTATTCTTAGATCTGCTCTTCACTGAGGACAGATGTAGCAGTCTGAACAGTAATCATCTGAATGCACACTGAAGGGGAAGCAGGCAGGGTCAGGCCCACAGAGGCCACTCTGCTGGGGAATCCACGAACTGTGAGAGACGTCTGTTCATCTGGTCGACCAAAGATCAAACTGAATCATTGATCTTACTGATACGACATAAATATAACCGTCTCCATCAGCTGCTAAAGGTGGTTGTTCATATCCACAAGCTCATAGTTCAGTGGACAGTGACAGACCATAAGTTAGTTATGACTGCAACTAACAGATTGATTAATCAATAAAATGGTAGAAAATAGTGAAAAATGCAGAACCGGAGCCCAAAGTGACGTTGTCAAACTGCTTTTGGTCCAAAACAAAAGTTCAAAGGATAGAAAACAGAGAGAAGCAGCACAATGCAGGTTTTGGAGGAGCTGGGTCCAGTGAATAACTGGGATTTTACTTAAATGATCAATCAGTTATTGAAATTGCTGGTTTATTTTCTGTTGATTAACTAATCAATGTTTAACTGAATGATCTATTATTCTAATGATCAATAAAACATCTGAAAATAGTAAAAACAATCAGTTTAAACCCAAACTGACAAAAATGGTCTGTCTGAAAAGCTTGAGGAATATTTGGGTTCTTGTGTTAAAAAGTAACTTTAAAAACAGCTAAACAAGCAGATATAGAATCAATGTTCAGTAGATTAATAGGTTAATTAAAACATTAGATTTCCTCAATACTGTATGTTTTCAAATTGTCACATTTAAGAAGCTCAAATGATCAAATGTTTGTCTTCTTTTGTTGAAAAATGACATTTTGATTGATTAATCAGCTAATCCTGTAACCTGGTGGAGATGAGTGAATTGACATGTTTACCAGTTTGTATATTTAATAACACTACCATGCTGTGTGTGTGTGTGTGTTTAGGGCTGAAACGATTCCTTGAGTTACTCCAACTGTGAACCTATCGTGACGTCCCCCAGAACTGTTTTAAAGCCTCCAGTTTGTCGTTATGTTATTAATGTTAATGTTTGTTGGAGCCAGCGGAGGTCAGGTAAAGCGAGACAATGAGAACTCCATGAGTGAATATTTTCCAGGAGATTTGATGACAGACCAGGACAGCGGTCGAGCACATATAATTTACCGGTAGCCCTCCAGTTGAAATTAAAAACTTAAATGAAGCTCCTGACGTGTGGACTGGGACTGTGTGTGTACCTGGAGGAGGAGGTGCTAGGTAGCGGTCTCCTCATGGCTCCTGGACTCATGCTGTAGTAGGAGGAGCTGTCCAGGTCGGCCAGGGAGAAATTTGGACCGGTGCCGGCTGCGATTGGTGCTAAGACAGAGAGAGAGAAAGACAGGAAGTGTTAATACACACATGTTACACTACACATGATCACTTTTATAAGGATCCCTCCTGTGGTTCTGGTCTCCTTCATTGTCCAGGAGGATCAGATGTTAAACAACTGGATCGTACGATATAGTTGTCTCCTTCTGGCACATAGTATACGCTCTGGGCTTTTTCTAGGAATTTAGGGCTTTTATTCTGAGAAGTTTATATTCCACAGCTGATCTTCACACCTTTGGGTCGGATAAATAAACATAAATAAATAAACCAGAACTGGAACTACTTTACGTTGGGGATGGTCCAGATTATCATCCAGGTACAGCCAACCCTCTACCACACATAGTAAACTGTAAAATATCTATTATTGAGCAGTTTGGGCTCATTACTCAAAAACTTTACTTTATTACTCATAACTTGTTACTCTTTTAAAAAGTAATGTCATTACTCCCTGCCAACAGTTATTTGACTGAATCGGTGATGTCACATGTTCGCCTCGGTGTGAGTGTCGCCCTTTAAACGCCTCAAACTAATATTATTACTGAAATGTATTAGTAATTAGTTACACTATTAGTTACTGCAGAAAGTAATATTATTACT